TCGTCAATTTCTCCTAGCGGCCTTTTTTGCTCACTGTGTACTCCCACCATCAAACTCTAATTTTATTATAAAAAAATAAAAAATAAACTAGTATATATGTATTAATCTTTATTTGAACAAGAGTAATTACTATAACAACCAATATTTAAAAGAAATAAAAACAAAATCACAGCTATAAATAGCTCTAAAGAAAAATTCAATACTTAAAAGAAATAAAAACAAAATTACAAAGCAGTATCAAAGAAAAGAACTAATACTTAAAGAAATTAAGAACAAGATCTTAGCTATAAGTAGCATTAAAGAAAGAGCTAATATTTAAAAGAAGTAAAAGCAAAATCAAAGCTATAAGCAGTATCAAAGAAAGGTGCAAATGTTTAAAAAAGATAAAACCATAGTTATAAGCAGCACCAAAAAAAAGAGCAAAAAATTATATTACTACACAATATTGAAATTCAAGATAAGTGAAGAAATAGCTAATTTCAAATGCAAAGCCAATATCAAATGTGAAAGCCAATATCAAATGTGAAAACAAATGTCAAATGCAAAATCAAATACAAAAGCCAATGTCAAATGCAAAAAACAATGTTAAAGACAATATCAAATGAAAAAGTCAATGTTAAATACAAAAGCCAATGTGAGGCATAAAGCCAACTTCCAAGCAATAAAAAAAGAAAACATAATAAAGCAAAGGGCTTTTTATACCTTACTTATAATTATATTATAATTACACTATTTATTATTACATAATAAGGTTAAATTTGAAGAAACTTCTTTTTTTTTTTTTTTTTACAGATTTTTGAAAATCATATTGCGTCGGATCTAATTTGATGCATGTCAGATAACTGATCAATAGACAATGTGGATTAGATCCAATGCAAGAATGCATTTGAGGCACAACATATATAAATTACTACTTGGCTTTAGAAAATCCCCTTAAATGATTAACATAAAAACAAACTTTTAGTTATACTATAGATAGTATCCATACCATAATACCTTTATAAAAAAGACCTGGTACTATATTGTCTTATCATATTAGAATTTTAATCCAAATTTAGTAAAATTTTAAAATTATATTCTACGTGATATCTGACAATTTTTTTTAATTTTATTTATATGAGTGTTAGAGCCTATTTAGGGTTATAATTAGGTGTTTTAATAGTAAATCGGTTAAGGAAAATTTTTAATTAATGCGCAGTAGGTGGTTTCCTATATGAATTTTTGAGTTATAAGTAATTTTTCTAAGCGAACGTTTGTTTTGAAATTTTCTGATCACGTAACGTTACACTAAATCGTGGTTCATTATTGGCTTGATTTTGTTGATCATCACATGACAGTAAAAATTACATAGTAATTTTTCTGGTGATCCTGGGGTAGTTCACATTGTGATTTTATTAGTGTTCTCTAATTGCAACCCTCCCTAAATGTACGCTCTAGAGCTGATTTTGCGCAGGTAATACAAGTATTTATTAGGTTAGGGTGAGGGTAGGAGGTGCTATAGGGGACGTAAATTTTAAAAATCCTGACTATGTTTTTTGTGTAATACCCGCGCAAATAAGCCGATAACGTGAATTTAGGGACAACACCATGTTCTTTTTTTCCAGGATTGGTATTCTTGCGGATGAAGAAGCATGTTTACTTACTCTTTTAAATTGGTCAAATCAACATGTGTATAAAAGTATTCATTACCGCTATTACAGTAGCTAAACGACATGTCTAGCAACTGGTGACAAAACACAACCTAAAGACTATCGTTTTTTTTGTTTATTATGAATACCGCTCGAAACAATCAGATTTTACTTTCTCTTTTCAAAGGGAATCCTACAAATTGAAATCGGATCTCAATAATCTTATGAATTTTGGAACAGAAAAAATGAAAGAAGCTGCTAGCCAGATGTATAAAATTTTTAAGGTAGTATTTTTCTATAATTGTTTTCATATATGTGATTAGCAGAGGGTGATCTTATAGCTACGGAGACAATGGAATGCTGTCTACCTTACGGTCGGAATGTCCGCTATTGAGAGTGGAAACCCTTACAACTACGGTGGACACTGGAATGCTGTCTACCTTACGGTCGGAATGTCCGTTGTACTGCTAGTCACTGCACTAGTTCTGTGTAGACTATAGAGTAGCAATATTTTTTTTACTCATCTATATTGAGCTTTTATTTTAAGGGCCACCGTGGTATTTTTCGCGATGTTAACGCTCTTTGGGATAAAATTGAGCTGAATATACAGTTACAGGATAGATTACAGAGCGCAAAGGTCTAGTAGTTTCCTTGCTTATTATCAATAATGAAGTTGAGCTCTGTATTAAGAATTTCTTTTTTATTAATTGCAGATTGAAGCTACTAGTTCATTAATAGATGTCACCTCAAAACCTTTATAACAGTAATTGTGACAGATTAAAATGAAATTATAATATAAAATCTCGAAAAATAAATTTTTTGATATGTATTTTTTAGGGTTAGGGGTTAGGATTAGAGTAAAATATATTAAACAAATATAAGTGGGTTTTAGAAGGTTAGAAGGTTGAATAAAAAAGGTAGATTTCATTTTAAATTATGATCTGCGACAGTAATTGATATTCATAATACTGAATGTCTTAAACATTTGCCTCAAAGATATAAGAAATATATAGCAAATCAAGTGCAAGATACTGAAGTCGATGTTATACATTTTTCAGAAGGGAAATTTATTGATAAATTTTTGGTAGACTGTGAAGAGGAGTTTTACAATACCTAGAAAAGTTTCGTAATGTAAATAACTTAGAATCATTGGAAAAATGCTTAGATAAAAATAGAATCATTCCATCTCATCAAACAATCTTATTTACGTTGAAAATCTATTTCTTCATTTTCTATTCTTATATAAAAATGATGTAATTATACGATCTTTAACGGAATGTTAATTTTATGCACTTGTCTGGATTCTATTACTTAGAAATGCTTTTCTTGGAAAGGTTGATTTGAGATTAAAATGTGGTGAAGTGGCGTCTAGGTCCTACGATAAATTGAAAGAAAATTTAAATATTACCACTCGTAGTGGTCCTAGATTAGATGGAAAAGGCTTCCTCGAGTCATTAGGAACTGAAATTTTAGCACAAGAAGATGGTACAATAAATACACAGAGCAAAAGGTCAAGCGACCTCCGAAAATTGGAGTATTGCTCTAAAATCATCCTTACAACATTATTTTTTCAATACCTTCTTATGTGAGAAACTGAATTAAGAAAATTGAAGTTTATAGTCTGCAGTCAACTGCATTTCAGCTCAAAATATCAACATCTAAATTTCTTTTTGAAGATACAGTTGTTTCTATGGACCTTGCACATATCGAAATCCCAAGGACTGTAGAAGGTTTTTCAAAATTAGTAGTTGGTATTAAAGTAATACTATCTTGGAAAGCACGGACAAGAAAGAACACAAAACCCTTTTATGAAATATTGAGAGAAGGTTATTAATGCTTATCTAATGGAGTTTATTTTTCACCAGTAAGCGTACCTGTAGATTAGTAATTTATTATGGTTTTATAAAATTGTGTGCTTGCACAGTGGTTCAACTCGAGCTATTTACGTGTTGTCATTTTATTATCCGTAGAGGTTATGAAATCTTATTACGTTTTGCGCAATGGTCTTTCTTCTAAATTAGTTAAATTAGTTAATTTTATGTTTTTACTATACGTTGGCGCAGCTATTGCTACTTTTTCTTACTGTTAGAGATTATTATCATAATATATATTTTCTTTTATTTGCATTAATGAAAGATTTATAAAGGTTGCTATTACGACTTTCATAGAACTTAATAATTTGAGTTTTCACCTTTTTTAAAATCTAAATTCTAATCCATATGACTTAAAGGCCCGTTAATGATAATAAACGTACATTTGTAAAAAGCGAAAATGCTCTGAGATCGGAGCTATGCAAATGTAGATTTACTAATTTCTCCCCAACTTCGTTTTTCAAACTCATATTGATATGTATACATGAAGTCAGATAAAATTGATTCAATATCATTAGTCAAACATTTTCAAATTTAGGGTAATTTATAAATTCACTGTATTGTAACTAATATTTAAAATAATACGCGTTACAAACGTGGCAATGTTACATGTGACAATGATTGTGATACAACCATCTTCTAACGATCGCTATCATGTGATAATGGAACGAATTTCTAACGTTAATAAGATTAATTTAACGTTTTTTATAAAAATTTCAAATGCCCTCAATTAATCAATTGTCACGCGATAAAAATGAAATAATGATAAGATAGAAAAATAAATAAAATACATAAATAAAATAAAAAAGTATAAATTAAGTAAAAACTTCTATATAAAGCGTTCAACTTTGAAAAATTTCATTTCAAGCAATAAATATATTGCGAAATTAAATACGTCAAGCACCTCTTCGAAAGGATCGACAAAGATTGAATCGTTTAGTGGTTTGAAATGCTCATTATAATAAGTACCGAGTCGATTCATCCAATTAACATCTTTCGGTTTGGCGATGCTAAGCTCTTCTTCCGAGGTATCTTTAGATTTTAGTGGTATATCGTACATTTTCTGATCTTCTGAATAATCATTTGAAGTAGATCCTAGTGCATCTGCGTATATTCTCCGATCTTCTGAATAATCATTTGAAGTAGATCCTAGAGCATCTGCGTTTCTTCTCTGATCTTCTGAATTCAAATTTGGATGTTTTCCTTTCCCTTTGGAAGAACATTCTAGCAAAATTTCAAAATTTGATTCCTGATCTTCAGAATATAGACTTAGTTCTTTTTCTTGAATTATTTCTACTTTATTCATTGTAGGATTGTCACGCCAGATGGACACTCTTACACGGATAGAATGATTATTATACCAATTGTCAATAACTTCAGATTCAGCATTAGAGGTACTTCTAATGAAATAAATACTTTGAATACTGAAGAAACGAGAGAAGGGTAAATGATTTGTTTACCAGTTAAAAGAATAAGAGTAAACATGAATATACGAAATATAGTGCTAACTATTGTAATGTAACAAAAAGTTGGTAAAATATAATAGAATTCATAAGTTATTTTATCAGTGGGTAACCTATCAATTAAATGATAGAAGCTAATACATGTATAGGCAAAAAGATAAAAGTGTTTTGCAGATGAAAAAATAGTTATTAACTGAAAAACCAGAGCGAGTGTAAGAAATACAGAAAATTTATCTTTTGTTGCTTCATTGGTAAAAACTAACATAATATAGGTCAAGAAGGAAACGATTGAACAAAAAATAGTACAAACACACAGTCTTAATATAATATAAAGAATTTGCCTAAAGCATCTATCTAAACGAAACAGGCGAAATTTGTGATCAGAAATTTTAAAGATTCCTGAGGGTTTTTTACCAGGCAACAACATATAACCTCCGAACAATAAATAATGAAATTCTGGAGCATAGATTTTTTTACCCTTTGTTTCATCCTCGCTTATATTTAAGAAACCATCATCGCCAATATCGACTGTAATCTTTTCAGTTCTGGAAGTACTAAGTGTTACGATGGTTTTAAATTCAAAGTCACCAATAACACGAAAAAGGGCATTTGAATAAAGTGCATGAAAGACTTCAGGATAATATAAGAAAATTTGGCCGAAGGATGGAACTTTAAGGCAAATTTGCATATTAATTAACAATAAGCCTTTTAAAATCAATTGAATTGCAATAATAATCAAAAAAGTAGAAGCAAATAATAAGTCCAAGACGAGAAAAGGTAATCGATTCCAAAATGCACGATATATAAATAATGTACTAAATGGTATGATAAAATTGTAAAATTTTAGATCAGAAAATAAAAGTTTGAAAATTGTAAAAAAAGTTATAGCTAATGTCAATAGGATAGCTTCAGGATGGCCTATGGCATTCAAGATAGAAGCTATGAGAGGAACAGAAAGAGATGTGACATAACTGTAGCCCCAATATAATGCCAACTTTAATAGCCAGGAGAATAAAAAGCAAATTGTATTATTTTTCATTCTGTCCAAATTCAAATGAACTAAGAGATGTAATAAAATTGAAAATTAAAAAATAATAAAGAATGTAAGGAAAGGTCGTAAAGGCGGCCATTATATATATCTTGACGCGATTTGTCGCGGAGTAATAGCCAGCATTTAAATAGGTAGATAATATAAAATAAAATTCCTATGATATATGCTGGTACAAAGAGAATAATTCTCAGAAGTCGTTATTATGCTGACTTCTCTAAAACAAAAAGGGATTTTGATTATTTTAATAGTGGAGTTCTACGACCCTAATAAAACTTTCTATATACTTTTTTTGTAATTATTCTTTGTAATTTAATTTTTTTAAAAAATATACTTTAAACTGTATAAATAATATAAAATTTAATTGATTTAAACAGCCAATCATATGAAGTCTTTCTATAAAAACTAAGTACGTACGTACGTACGTTATCTGGTATGGTCACGTGGTTAGCCTGTAAAACACGATTAATCGGGATAACCATATTCCACTTTGATTGACATATATAGCATTATTGAATACGCAGTAAATCATTGTAATTCGAAAACCATTTACTTGAAAGAAACAATGTCAAGGTTAGTTACGTACTCAAATACGTATATACGGAATATTAATCGTTTACCGATACCAATACATTTACCATTATTGCACGACCATATTTATCTTTCATTGGCGTTCACGGAAAACATTCTTTGAAAGTAAGTTATCAATCAAATAACTATCAAAGACAGTTATATACGGAATATAATATTAATCTCCAAGGCATATTATTTGCTGCATTTACGGAATGCCGTAGAAATCACGGAATTAAGATAAACTCAGACCGAACACAGTAAGTTTCGAAAATGGCGTGGAATTACCACAGAAATATCGTAAGCAAAGTGGAAAAAGAAAGTCTGTAAAAAGAATTTTATATGTAATAAATGTAATAATTCACTTTGTAAAAAGAGTGTGGCGCCTTGCGTAATTTGTACTTTGTATAGGCTGAATTTCACCACAGAAAAACATGGGACCTGTCACACCCTCTAAAAAATCACGCTGTTAACATATTAAATGGTATAGTCAATATATACAGTAAAATCATCTATATATTTTAATTCGAAGGTCTTTTTTATCTATTTATTTGTTCAAATTAGTATTCCATTGTAAAATAAAGTGTAGATGTATGTGTGTGTAACTATACGTATATGGTTGTATAATTCAAAAATGGCAATTTTAACGATGAAAATGATTACAGAGCCAATTTCTCGAGGTAGGAACGTCCCGAGTGCCCCGAGTTTGTAGATCGTTACACAATTTATTAATGATTTTTTTTT